TGTCTCACAAGTGTATCTATTTATTTTCATCCAAAACAATTTAAGGAGGAACGTTTGAAACAAAGCTCATAGTTCAATGAGCCATAAATGAGAACTCTATAATGTCTAATAAGCTATGAAAAAAGCAACCTCTGTGCAAAATGGAGACTTCTGCTTATGTCTCTTAATTTTCAGATTTAAAGACCCTAGTAATCTCACATCTGTCTCCTCAAGATCTCAACAATATCACAAACTTAATATGAACTCATTAAATACTCTCAATATTTTATGCTATGCAATACACAATCATTTGACTTACTTCGGTGAGACATATACAGTATGACTATGAGAATACCATATCTCACATAATTCTCCTCTAGAGTTTCAAAAAAGATAATAAATGTCTGAAAGTTTGGTCAAATATTCCTAAAGACCAAAGTCTGCAATCAAATACTACCTCAAATATTTCTCAAACTCTTTCTAGACCAAAATATCCAAGCTTGCCATCTATATTCATTTTACAGTTATATCCTGTTCTGTAACAATTGTCTTATTTGTGTCAATTTCTAGAAATCATCCAAGACAAAGCTGATACTTCAAAGAAAAACAAATGTGAACTCTGTTATGTCTCCTAAGTTATGAAAGCACAACCTCTGAGCACCAAAAGGTTTCTCTGGGAAAATAAAAGAAAGTTGCATCACAGATAAACTAACAGATGGAAGGAAAGAGGACAGAATCAAAAACAATGAGAGACAGGAAGTCCTGAGAGACCCTTCTTTATCATTGTCCTGTGACTTTCTGTTGTTTGCTGACATATGCCAGAGAGGACTGATATGAATGACTTCAGAGAGGTGCAGAGGAATGGCGTCCGACAACCGTGAGATACACAGACATGAGCGACAAGCACTGTGCTACCCAAAAACATAGATCCCTTTATGATCCTGCAGACACAACACTGTCAAATATTACAAAGCACAACAATTAGGAACCTTCCTAAGGTTTAACTGCAAGAGGTTTCTAAAGGAAAGGTTAAAAAATGAGAGATTTACGTGCTGTACAAACTCGAGCTATGATGACAGGTGAAAGGAAGAGCTGCAGCGATAGAAACAAATGCAGATAAATTAAACATTTTGTAGAATCGCTCAGCATGGCAGAGATGCAAATGGGCTCCTAAATGGAAGCCCTTGTCGTCTTAACTTGGGCGTACAGCCAGGCTGATTTGTAATAATGTCCCTCCGTCTAGCAGAGGGATTTAATGCAGGGCGATAGCGGGAGAGACAGACAGCGTTGGAGACAGCACTACAATACAAACGCTTTTAATGCAACGCAGGCAAATACGTGCTAATGCATCTGACTGGCTATATGGTATTGTCGGTCTGCCAGGTTCTCGCTGACTGGGCTCTGACTTAGCACTTAAATAGGGTTGAGGAAAGAAACTAGGTTGGCAAGTGGAATTGCAGCATATGCCTGGATTTATTTTAGTTAATATCAGCATTAATGCAATAGAAAGCCACACCCTTTATACTGTACTATGCAGTTCTAATGTCCAATGACTTTGGGTATTTTCACACATGGTTCGATTGATCAATTGTGTATTCCTTGTAAGTGAATCCACAAGTCTCAATTCACAGAGGTGCATCAACACTTTTTTTACTCATTTTTTCGTCCCTTTAGTTACCAAAATGACATATACACAATTTTCCAAGATGAAATCTTGGACGTCTTAATTTTTTTTTTAAATAATGAAAACAAAACAAAAAAACTTTTGGTGAACACAACCTCCATAAAACAGTATTGAAATTTGTGAAACTTGCAGTATCTAGGATCTCTATACAGTGTGTGCAATTACAAAAAATCTGTAAGTCTGTCCCTCACAGTCTTGTTTTCATTTGCATAAATTCAATAGGGCGTCTAACCTGAAGGTCTATTAGACTGGACTGCTTTCAAACTAGGGGTGGAACGGTTCGCGGAAAAAAATCGAACCGTACGGTTCTCCACACACGGTTCGGCACGCGCTAGGACCGCGGTTCAACTTAAATCTGACAACGCATCTGTAATATGGTTTGCTATAAATAACACGTAAAACAAACAGGGTTGGGCTAATATATATTTCTGTTGATGGATGCGCATTCTGGCTTCCCAAAACATTACAACAACAGCGATGAAAAAAAAAAAACGTGGACAAACCATTCACTCTTGTTCAATGCGAATGCCGTATGCTGGAATATGAGCATTTATTCCATCATCACCTGGGTGCTGATAGCACAGGTGAGACCTGAACAGCACACATTGATATCTGTGTTTAAGCTAAACTCGTTTAAGCTTTGCCAGTTTAAACATTTAAGCTCGCTCGCGTAGAGAGAAGATTTGTGCGTGCGCTCATCCGAAGTGAGCAATCCCATGCCTCAGAATGCGCGCAAATATTAAGCTTTCTCTGAAGTCAGTGTTTCCCCTGCCATTATATTAGGGGGGCGGCCCGCCACTCCAAAGGCACCCCCCGCCCCCCTTGAAGGTCAAGTTAATTTTATTTAATTTTACTTTCTCTATAGCGCCAGATCACAACAGAAGTCATTTAAAGTTACCTTTCCTATAGAACAGGTCTATACCTTGTTCTTTTATGAAACAAACTAAATAGCCTTATGTTATTTATCTTATTTACACAATGGCATGTCATTTCTGTCTCTATGTTACATGGTCGTGCTCTCTGTATCGCGCACAGCGGAGTTCCGCCCCGATGCGCACACACAAGTGAGCACACTCCCACT